ATCTGGGATACGCATTTCAGCATCAACATGCTCCACCTCAACAGGAATCTCTACCTGTTCCAGCTCTTCGTCAACATCATCAGTTTTCTTGAAAGCCATTTCCGTTTCATTGAAAACTACATCTCGACTGGTGATACACCTCCTGTGACCTGGCTCTAGGCACCATAGCCTATAAGCTTTTACTCCTTCAGGGTATCCCATAAACATGCATTTCAGAGCTCTAGGTTCGACCTTGTCTTGCCTAATGTGAGCATAGGCTACACAGCCAAATACTCTTAGTTTGTCGAGATCTGGTGGATGTCCCGACCAAACTTCTTCAGGTGTCTTCATATCTAACGCTGTCGAAGGACATCTGTTTATCAGATATGCTGCTGTCGAAACAGCCTCAGCCCAAAACACCTTCTTTAATCCCGCACTAGTCAACATGCATCTAACTCTCTCCAAAATAGTTCGATTAAACCTTTCAGCCAAACCATTTGTTGAGGAGTACCTGCGGTAGTTCTGTGCCTTGCAATACCAGAGGCAACACAAAAACTGTCGAACGCCTCATTGCAAAACTCAAGGCCATTGTCGGTTCTCAACCTCTTTACCTTTCTGCCAGTTTGATTTTCGACAAGAGTCTTCCAACTTTGAAATTCTCAAAAGTTTCATCCTTAGTCTTCTGGATGAATACCCATAACTTTCTGGAATAGTCATCTACTATGGATAGAAAATACTTTGCTCCTGAATGTGATGGACACCTTGCAGGCCCCCAAAGATCAGCATGGATGTAATCAAGGGATCCATGTGTTCTTTGTTTGCCTTTGTTGAACTTCATTCTACAGGACTTTCCAAGTACACAGGGTTCACAAAACTTCAGCTTTTCGACTTTATCTCCACCAAGCAGATTTTGTTTCCCTAATTCAACCAGACCCCTTTCACTGACATGGCCCAATCTCATGTGCCAAATTTCTGTTTTCGACAAAGGTTTCGTGGATGCAACATTTGTCGAACCACTTACAACTTCAGCCTCAAGGGTATACAAGCCTTGTTTCTTCACGCCTCTCAAGACTTCCTTCGACCCTTTCATGACTCTCAGGATACTTTTCTCTCCTTGAAAAACATATCCTTTCTTGTCGAATTCACCAAGAGAAATCAAATTTCTCTTCAAATCAGGTACATACCTGACTTCAGTCAACAGTCTTATTGACTCATCATGGAGCTTGAATCTCACAGATCCAACGCCTGCAATCTTGCAAGCTTTGTTGTTTCCCAGCAATACCGATCCACCATCTTGATCACATAATTCCTCGAACAAGTCTTTGTTTGGAGTCATGTGCCAAGTGCATCCAGAATCCATAATCCACTCCTTCGACGAGTTGTTGCTTGAAACCACAAGAACATCAGATGATTCGAAATCATCTTGGACAATAGCTGCATTGCCATTATCCTTACCTCCATGATCTTTCAGGCGTTCAGGGCACACCTTTCTTGTGTGACCTACTTTCTTACAGTGATAGCATCTAATACCAGATGTGTCACCACTATAAGACTTCGACTGATTTTTACCTTTCTTCTTGTCGAATTTTCCTTTAACAGCAAACCTTCACCAACCGTCGAAGGTTTATGCTCCTTACGTTCGTTCAAGTCCTTAGAGTACAAGGCTGATTGAACTTCTTCAAAGGTCAGGGACTCTCTTCCATACAAGAGGGTTTCTTTGAAGTGAGCATGTGATCTGGGCAAAGCGCACAACAATAACAGCGCTTGATCTTCATCATCAATCTTTACATCAATATTTTCAAGATCAAGAATCAGCTTGTTGAACATATCCAACTGCTCAGCCAACACTTTGTCTTCAATCATCTTGAATGAATACAAAGCTTGCTTCAGGTAGAGTCGATTTACCAGAGATTTGGTCATATACAAACTTTCAAGTTTCACCCATAACCCTGATGCCGTCGTCTCCTTTGATACCTGTCGAAGAACCTTATCACCAAGGCTCAACAAAATTGCGTTGTGTGCTTTCTCGATCATGGCCGTCTTCTCTCTTTCTGTTAACGCAGCGTCCATCGCCGTCGCTCCCTTCAACGCTTCCAAACAACCCTGCTGAACCAGTAGGGCTTTCATCTTCAAGCGCCATAGACCGAAATCATTCACTCCGGTGAACTTTTCAATCTCATACTTTGTTGAAGGCATCTTTTCCACGCTCACCGCACCAATTTGTTGTGAATTCAATGCCAATAACAAAGTATAGTATTTGGGAAGAATAAAGAACAAGGAAGAAGAAGAACACAAGAATTGGTTATAACTGCTATTCTTTTACTTTCTCTTTTTAAACAAGATTACAAGTTTACAAGAATAACAAATAACCCTCTCACCCTAAAAATAGGATTTGCTGTGATGGCAATGATGAGAGACTAGTATGCTATTTATAATAAAACCTAACATACTAACTAATGGGCTTTTTCCACAAGGCCCATTATACAAGCTAACTTAACAAACAAGTTAACTTAACAAATTAGGGTTTAAACACTAAAACCTAATTCGACAAGCATCCTTCGACAAATACATGCTAGAACCTTCTTCGACTACAGCAAGTACTTCGACCAACTAGAGTTCGATCCAAAATCCCACACATATATATATATATATATATATATATATATATATATATATATATATATATATATATATATATATATATATATAATATATATATATATATATATATATATATATATATATATATATATATATATATATATATATTATATATATATATATATATATATTTAAGTTCCTACATTCCTATCAAATGTGAAACTATTTCTTTATATATTATATTATTCCAACAATTATAAGATATAAACTAAAACTATTTAAAATAACGTCTAAAAAATAAATTAGAAAATAGTAAAATAAACTATAAAATTCAAATAAAAAGACATTTATCAAATAGATTTTTTATTATCATATAATATTATAATCTATAAATTATAAAATATAAACTCAAAAATTTCTTGTAAGCAAAGCCAAAAATCTATCATTTTCAATTTAATCCTATATAGTGTGACACTCCTAGTCTTCATACCTTTCCATTGATGTATTGAATTTGTGTAGACATGATGAAAGCGAATGCAACTACACTCCTGAACCCGTGAATAAAGAAAATCGACACAATTTTTGTTCCTACTCCACTTATTTATAGTCCCACATATCTTCATTTCAAACCACGACAAACCACTCCACCTTAGTTTGAAATTTTGGACCTCCTTTTTTTTTACTTCAAGCAACACTTGTTCATTTTCTCGCTGGTTTCTATAACTTTTATAAGCTAAGAGTGTTTATGAACAAGAACTTGGATTCATAGTGTTGTTAGTAAAGAGTTTTGAGTATTGCTCCATTAACTCTAATTTGAGTTGGCGCCATAATTATAATATGACTATGCAAAAGGGTAACAACAACAACCATCAAAAGTCATTTGAAGTTTCCATTGATTCCAAGTTCTTTGATGATGATGGCCGTTTAAACGATTCTGGTAATCCATTTTATTAATCTCTTTCAATTTTACTATTATATCGAGTTGTGGCTGTGTTGTTCACTAATACAAGTAAGACATCAGACACATTTTTGTTCAGAGATTTCGATGAGAATCTCAAACTCGTGTTTTGTTGTCCAAAAAACAGGAAACAAATGGACAGGAAGTGCACACATAATAACCGCAGTTATTGGTTCTGGAGTGCTGTCATTGGCATGGGCTATAGCTCAACTTGGATGGATTGCTGGTCCATCAATGATGCTTCTTTTCGCTTTTATTATTTATCACACTTCCACTCTTCTCTCTGTTGGTTATCGTACCGGGGACCAACTTAATGGCAAAAGAAATTATACTTACACTCAAGCTGTTGGAGCATATCTTGGTGGTTATAAGGTCAAAATTTGTGGAATTATTCAATATGTTAATCTTTTTGGTGTTGCCATTGGATACACTATAGCAGCTTCTATAAGCATGATGTAAGTATTCAATTCTAGAGTTGAATTTAAATTTGATTTATTTGTTGTTAATGAATTGTGCTAATTGGTAATTTTATTGACAGGGCAATTAAAAGGTCTAATTGTTTTCATAATAGTGGAGGAAAAGATCCATGTCATATGAATGGAAATCTTACATGATTTCTTTTGGTATTGTTGAAATATTTTTCTCTCAAATTCCAGACTTTGATCAGTTATGGTGGCTCTCTTCTTTAGCTGCTGCTATGTCTTTTACATACTCAACTATTGGTCTTGGTCTTGGTGTTGGGAAAGTTATAGGTATGAAAATGATTCTATTAGCTTTTCATTTTCATGCAATAAACAAGTAACTACATACACTTGAGCTTTATATTGACTAATTTTGATTTGAATTGGACATGTTACAGAAAACAAAGGCATTAAAGGGAGCCTAACTGGTATAACTGTTGGGACTGTCACACAAACCCAAAAAGTTTGGAGGAGCTTCCAAGCTCTTGGTAACATAGCTTTTGCATACTCTTACTCACTCATACTTATAGAAATTCAGGTAAAATCTATTAATCTTAACAAAAATTGTAAGACTCGTCATGATATGAACGTTAATAATTTTTAAAATCGAAATCTCAAATATAAATGTATGTTATGTTATTGTAAATTAGGACACAATCAAATCGCCTCCATCGGAGTCGAAAACAATGAACCAGGCTACATTGATCAGCAATATAGTCACAACATTTTTCTACATGTTATGCGGTTGTTTTGGTTACGCTGCTTTCGGAGACTCGAGTCCCGGAAACCTTCTTACTGGTTTTGGTTTCTACAATCCTTTCTGGTTGCTCGATATAGCCAATGCCGCAATCGTGATCCACCTTGTTGGCGCTTTCCAAGTTACTGCCAGCCTATTTACTCAGCAGTCGAGAAAGCCGCAGCTAAAAGATTCCCATGTAGCGATTTTATCAACAAGACATTGAACTTCCAATCCCTGGAATTGTTTCTCCGTTGAAAATCAACCTTTTTAGATTGGTTTGGAGGTCATTTTTTGTGATCGTAACAACTATAATATCAATGCTTCTACCATTCTTCAATGACATTGTTGGACTTATTGGAGCTTTTGCATTTTGGCCGTTAACTGTGTATTTTCCAGTGGAAATATACATTGTTCAAAAGAGAATACCAAATGGAGCACAAAATGGATTTGTCTACAAATTCTTAGTGCTTCTTGTCTTGTAATTTCTTTAGCTGCTGGAATTGGTTCTGTTGCTGGTATTGTTACTGATCTTGGAGTTTACAAGCCATTCCATGCTATGTACTAGTTACGTGACATTATTGCTTTACTGTTCACTGTCTTAAAGGATTAAAATATCAATAAAAACAAGTTTTGTTCTTGCTCATTTGAAGCCACTAGAATGGTGGTGTTTTGGTTGATCTTGTATTTTTCCCTACTTTTATATAATCAACTTTTGTAATTTGTTAGACGTGTCAAATCTAACAATATGAGTCAAATATTAAACGATTGATGTGTGAGACAACGAATAATGATAACTAAAATAAATGGCTTCAAGCAAATATTAATTTGTGAAATAGTGTAATTAAATCATCACAAACAAAAATAAAATAAAAGACGAGAGCACACAAATTTTGTTTGCTCAATTCAGTCAAACCGATCTACTTGAGAGATAGAAAAGTTCTGTGAATAAGTGCACTTAAACCTTCCAAGGTTATAAGAATAAATCTTATTTTAACCCCAAGTGTTTTCTAATCTATCAAATTCTCAATATATGAATCACACAAACTCAATGTGTTTAAAAAAGTATTTTAATCATCTTAAATATCCCCAAAGAAATGACAATTCTCATAAAAATGAATTTTAAGAATTTCTATCCTTGTGTCTCTAAGTTTCTCTCACTAAGATTTCACCACCTTTTATCACACAATAAAAAAATGATAAAGACTTGTTTGGAGAAGATTGTTGGTTCAACTGTTGTGGTTAAGTCTCACATTGTCTATGAATGGATGAAATATTTGAATTATAAGATAGGTGACTCATATACCTAATGACATAAGGTTTTTTTGATGGAGATGTGACATCTCTCTCTCTCTCTCTCTCTCTCTCTCTCTCTCTCTCTCTCTCTCTCTCTCTCTCTCTCTCTCTCTCTCTCTCTCTCTCTCTCTCTCTCTCTCTCTCTCTCTCTCTCTCTCTCTCTCTCTCTCTCTCTCTCTCTCTTCTCTCTCTCTCTCTCTCTCTCTCTCTCTCTCTCTCTCTCTCTCTCTCTCTCTCTCTCTCTCTCTCTCTCTCTCTCTCTCTCTCTCTCTCTCTCTCTCTCTCTCTCTCTCTCTCTCTCTCTCTCTCTCTCTCTCTCTCTCTCTCTCTCTCTCTGAATTAGGTTTGTTGCTGCTCTTGTCTTCCCTAGTCTCTCTAACATTTATTGATGCTTGGAATCCTAGAGATCTAATCCTCACCAAAATGACCTAGCAAATTCAGCCCACACGCACTCATGGAGTGTTTGATAAAATTATGTGTGTGTTTTAAGGACAAGTTAAATTCTTGGGAGGTGATTGTGCTCTTTAGTTTTTATATATTTTTTCCAACAATTCACATCACATATTTGACTCAATCTAGAGAAAATAATTTTAAGTATATTTTTGTGGTTTTATATATTGTGCAGGTAATATTGTCAAATATTTTTTGATTTTGATGATATCAACTCTTCCGATAGTTCTTTAAGAAGGCGTTCGAACTAAAAAAAAAGCATGACAATTCTACCAATGGTTCTAATGATGGAATCTAAACAAGAAGGTGATATCACAAGCCTTATTAGTCAAAAGTTTCAAGTTTCAGTCGGAAATGCTAGACAATGTTAAATCAAGCAAAGGAATTTGAAGTTATGAAGTTTTTATCTTGAAGTTGAAGTTGTGAAAGTATTAAAACAAGCATGATATTGAACTTAATGTTTTAGTTTTGATCAATTGTAAATGAAACAAGAGTAAGTCTTAGAGTACTAAAGCAATCTACACATATACACAAAGTATTTAAAATTTATCTTCTCTTTTGATAAAACTTCTTAAACCAATCTAGACAAGTTCTTAATGATTAGAAGATAGCTTTCTTGATCAATTAGAAAACTTAAGTACTTTGGTTAATTGATTAAGGGTTAAATATATGCTGCCCTCCTATTAATAGGGCGAGTTTTGATTTTCCCTCCTTGAAGTATTTTTTTGTCATTTGTCCCTTATAAAATGAAGATTCCGTTTGAAGAATTCCTTATTCCATGTTTGGCTGATTGGGTGTGCGGAATCTTTCTAATTGACATTCTAGACTTGCTGATTGGATTATTTCAAATCAAACGCCTAAAAATTATCTCACATATCACCTTAGTAAAGATTCAAACTCAAGACCTTTACATTAAATGTTCAACCACTGTACCATTTGTCTTATTATTGTTATTAATCACCTCGAAATCAATTAATACAAAGTCTTATTGCTCCTTCCATCTTCTTCTCCACAACCAAATATGTTTTATGGATATTCAGGCTGAAGCAAAACTTGATCCTTTAAAATACTCCAATATGTAGGTTATGTATTTTTGCTATTTAAGATGTTTGTGTTCTTAATTCAATAATGTCAATAGTCACACATGAATGTTGTTTCTGACATTTTCCATATTGGCAAACTGATTTCAAATTTTGAGTATTCATTATCTCAACTGTGTATATCTTGCAGTCATCTTAACTATCATATGACATGGCTACTTAAATCTTTACAACATAACTCAATGCATCAATTATTATTGTGATTGTAGTAAACACATATCAAGAAGACTTGGCCATTGTATATTATCTATTATCACAAGAAGACTCTTGCATATTATATCTTATTATGCTATAGAAAAAAACTATGTCCTTCCGATTTTATTTTAATATACTTTTAAAAGCTTCAATTTAATTGTATCACATAGTAACAATTAACAAGTGTGGTTTTATTTTAATTTATTTTTAAAAACTTCAATTTAATAGTACTATATAGTAACAATTAATAAGTGAGATACTTATGTTTAAAAAATTTCCTTGTATAATAGTATTGAAATAAGTGATAACATGTTTTTCTCTAAATGTGAGGTACTATTGTTGATGGGGACAAGGATGAAAAATATGAAAAAAAATTATAATATTCAAGCACGCGCAGAGACTTCAAAGAACTATCCATATGCGCTGATGAAGAGAATAGAAATAGGAAAAGATAAAGATGTTGCAGCAACTACTGTTGAAGATAATAGTTTCTGGCGAAAAACTTGTATTGTAATCTCCTCTTTAAAACCATGATGCTAGTAGCTTAAAGCCACAATGTCTTTCATTTTTTCAAATATTAATTTTATGAGAATAATATCTATTTTTAAATGCTATTTGAGTTTATCCTAATGTTGTTGTTGCTATCAATGTGCATTATTTAGACAATTTGATGTAATCATTGTTCAACAAAATACAACTAACCAAGTGATAAGTGGTGTTGGTTTTAGTTTTAAGGTCTTTGATTTGAACCTTCTTAGGATTATATTAAATTTTTTGATTTTTAAACAAAAACAATTCAACTCAGCAAGATTCTCAATCCAACTCAACAAGATTCTCATGTCCAGTTAGTAAATCAACAAAATAGAGCACGTCCAATTAGTCAAACAATGATATAGGAGATACTGCAAACAGAATCTTTATTTTATAAAGGTGTAATCACAAACAAAAAATACTTAAGGAAAAAAAATAAAACTCGTCCTATAGATAAGAGGCAACGTATATTTAACTCATTAATTAATAGGTCGCTCTAATCAATTAAATCAAAATGTAATATATATCTTAATCAATTAAGGAGGATGGAAATTGATTAAGTGATGTTTAAACTCAAATTTTCCTATTTTGACTTGGTTAATCCATACACATGAATTTAATCTATTACCATTTAAAAGTTTCATCAATTATTTTCTTTTTTAAAACATATTTTTCCTATATAAATGAAATTTCTTTTCATTTCAAAATACATCAATTTTTTGAATAGAAACTATCTATTATCTTTTTGTCTCTAATTCTTTATGAAGATCCTTTTCACCAGAGTTATCTTAATGTTAAGAGAGTAAAAATTTTCATCTATCTATAATTATATTATAATTATTTATTCAAATATATAGTTTTCTTATAATCAAGATCGGTCTTAGGTCAGAGCAAACAGGTCATAATTCAGGGTTTCAAAAAATATGAGCTTCAAAATTTTAATTTGTAGGTTTTATAAATTAAATGATAATATTTAAAACATATCATATTGCATTTTTATTGCAAATTGAATAAATGGTCTAGCGGATAAATTTGAGATTTTGGGGGATTGAATGTTGTACTGTTATCTACTGTGTTGGATTCACAAAAGTTAGTTTTTTTCCGCCAATATAAATGTTTTAATTTCTATGATGTAACACTCTCATATATATATGGATAATTTGATAAGCTTGAAATTCTTGTCGATAAACATTAACTTACCACTTGTTTACATTTAGGAAAACTAAAGACTTTTAATTTTTATATATTTAAATAGACCTATAATTAGTTGTATAAATTGATTTTAACTGTAAATTTTAAAATATTTTTCTTTATAAATATTGTAATCCTCATATTTTAATATTATAATCTTTTACAAAAACTAGTTTCAGAATAAATTAATTTATAACTTATTTTTTTTAAAAATATTCTCCGGTCTCAAATTATAAATTAATTTATAAAAAATATATAACATTAATAACTAAAGAGAAATTCATTTTGATCCTTCATAAAGATGACAGAGTTTAAATTAATCTTAAATTAATTTTTATTTTTAATTTTAATTTTATTTTTAAACAATTCAAATTTGAAAATATAAAAAAAAAAGAAGTTATTGTTGTAAAGAATCAAATCAGAGAATTTTAATCACATCCTATGACTTTACCAATAGGTCAATATATATTGGTAACATGTAATTCTCATGATTTATAATAATATTAAAAAAATTTAAATTTAATGTATCTTTTGCATTAAGTCAATGTATCTTTTGCAAATTTTATATTTGGTATTTGAATACCTCATATTAGTAGTCGAATATCACATTGTTTTCAGCCTTTAAAATATATTTTTAATGGCAAGACTTCATGTATGATCATGCATGTCGATGCAAGAAGAGTTTTTTTGATGTGAGAGATGAAATTATGAAAAATTTAAAGTAATATAGCATAAATTGCAATGAGCACCTTAGTTATTTTCATTTTTCTCAAATCTTTATTTGAATTTTTATATTCAACCTTCT